TTACAAACTTTATCTCATGCCCACAAAATTCAGATGAAAACTGATTGAAATATTGACCTCATACGACTGTGTTTCTATCATATATATAGAGAGAGAGAATTGAGTGAAAGTTAAAAGTGGCTACTGTCATTTAATCATGGAGGGGAAGGACACAAAAAATTAAGAACCAAATTCCAACAAACAGTCCAAGCAGCAACCAGGAGAGAAAACCTTCACCACAACATGACTTTGTGAGCAGCCTGGCTCCAGAACCTTGGCTCTTGCAACACCACCTCTTCCCATTTAAACTGATATCCCTGCAATAAAAAAAACCCAGACAACTGTCGGACACAATCCCACCAGACTAACATATAACTTAAGAAAAAATTAAAACAGGAATAAATCAAAGTTTGCAAGCAATATTTCCCAAAAATGATCAAACAAGTAACCATCAACAACCTATACATCATGTTTTTTAAAAAAAACATTACTTAAATACTTTACTAGTGTTAGAAGACTGAATTTACTTTTAACATTATTTTCAAGAAAATTATAAATCTACAGCAAAATGTTTGATTTTATAGAAAATACAAAGCTTTAATCAAAAGAAACAATTTTTATTTAAATTTAGGATTTTCTGTTTTTAAATGCAAATTATGAATAATATACTACAAACTGTAAACAGTGCAATGAATTTTTCTAACATTAAACTTGTTACTGTATAAATGTGAATTGACTAAAAACAGTAATACCAAAAAAACATCACATGAATTCAAAACATGCATTGCAAAATCAAAGAGAAAAAAAATCATGCTATACAATTACATGTAAGTAAATGTAAAACTTAAAAACAAATGTGGTAACAGTCCAGTTCTAAACATACTTTTCAAACATTTTCAAAACTACTCTTTCATTTCTTTTATATTAACACACTGATTTGGTTGCAAACATTTAGCTATATTGAAATAATGATAATCATGCATATAATACAGCATGGTTTATTAAATAAATAAATTATAAGTTAACACAATGATATTGGTTGAACTTAAAAAGTCATACCTAAAAAATATATATAATATTAACAAAAAATGTAACTCTTCTTGTTTTATGTTGCTTAAAGTCAAATTAAAACAGAAATGTGTTTATTACATTAAATGATCAGGCACCTGTGCTCAACATACTTGTGTAATACCAGCCTTATTTTTTATTAATGAGAGCACAAAAATGATAAAAATTAAATTTTAAACAAAGTTAAAACACATGCAAACAACTAATAAAATCTTCAAAATAATTGTTCTTATTTTAAAAACTTAATGAAAAATAAAATGATTGAAAATTGAATACTTACTAAAACTATAAAAAAACAGTCAAACCACTTCAGCTTCAAACACAAAACATATCAGACAAAAATCAAAATGTGCCTAAGATTTTTATAAAATGTATTATCAAAGTTGACAATATACTTCAGATTATCAAGTTTTTTATTTCCAATTTGAATGAAATACTTTATGTGTTACCCATCAAACAATTAGAAAATCTTAGTGAGGAAAATAAAAATGGGGATTAGTATCAGCAAAACTAACAAAATTCTGTTACATGATAAGAATTTTATAGAACCTGAGGCCCATTGAATGCTATATCTAACTTGCATCAGGTGCAAGTTACCAACAGCTATCTTTTGTTTTAACTGAATGACATGTTAAAAAAGAAATCAGGTACCTAACACTGTACACATTATTATAAGGTGCCACATGTGGTTTTGTAAACACATCATCGAGATAATGGCACGAGAAATGATTTGTTGAGTTTACTCAATCTGGAAGAGGTGGTGTTTTATTTATATTTCAGCCTTTTCAAGCAATAACACTCAAAACTTGTTGGTCATAGGACTAACCACTGACCAAATGAAATAAATGGCTTCTGAAAGCTAGGACATGTTCTGCTGTATTCAGTTTCATTATACTGAATATAGATATGATGATGTACTTCTAGCAAAACAAAATAACTTATCTACATATACATAAAACAGACTGGAAATGTAATAGTTTTGCAGGCCAACATATACAAGATTCACATCTATCACCATAAACTAAGTTCTTTCCTACTAAATTTCTTTTTTACACTTGTAGAGAAACATTAACAAGGATAATAGACAAGAATGTGGTGCTCGATCAAATATTAATAAACTTTATTTAGAACAATATAATTGAAGATGGTGATATACTACTAGCAATGGGTTCATTATGGGGAAAACAAAGTCTAACAACAAAGGTGATGATGGATAATAAGATAAAAACATTTTTATTTACAAAAGTTTTAAATATTTCAGAATACATTTGTTCCATTTTCAGTGAAATCTGGAAATGATATTATAATTATAGCTATTAAAAGATACTATTGTAACTTCAATAATTAATTTACTTAAAATATTTAGTAAAGTAGTAAATGGAAAGAAGTACAGATAATAGAATAAGTTAAAGAAGTAGCCAAATTACAAGGTGCATGAGACATAAAGTTATGATTTTAACTATTCTTAAAAAACAGCTAAATGTTAAGTAAAGCTAGTTAGAATAGTTATAGGTCTAAGGATGCTTGTAAGTCCTTATGAGCTGTACAGTCTTTTGCTATGCACAGTTCAAGGTCTGAACATTCTGTAGTAATGATAGTGAAATCATTATATAACATGTTGTGGCCTGTGGTTTCAAAGTGTGAAAGAATAGCCTTGTGGCTAGGTTTCAATAATGGACAGCCAGTCCTATTCGATATTCCTAAGTGTTCACAGACTCTGGTTTTTAAGTGGCATTTTGTGTTTCCAATGTAAATGACCTTACAGTCGTTACACTTATAAATGAGCCACAAATGTAGAAGTATTGATTTTCAATCTTTACATTGAAAGAAGTATTTATTGCAGAGGGTAGGTCTATGCATTCAACAGAGTTTAATTTAAGGGTAGAAGGTTTTGTTTTTCAAGGAGGAGAGTTGTTGTTTTTTATTTGGGACATACGAGTCCATAAAAGGAAGGCAGATAATGAGAGTAAACTTGGTAACAGTGTACAAAGTAGTGAGTAGTTGGAATTTGTCATTTAGAAACTTGCAAGTAATGACTGGTAGAAAGTCAGACAAACAGCCAATGTTTAACAGGTGTTTGCATAGAAGTGTAATTTCTTTGTGTAAAACAGTAATCTGGGCAAAAATTAAAGACCCTTTTTAAAAGTGACATGACAAGGTTTTGTTTGAAGTAGATGGGGATAAAGCTGTTAAAATTAGTGTAAAGGCCTGTAAAAGTCCTTTTACAAATTTTGAACCTTCTTTCGTAATTCTGATGTCAAGAAAATATAAGAATCGATTTTCTGCAAGTTCTGATGTAACTTGGTATTAGAGTGTTGGAAGAAGAGTCAAGCAAGAAATTCAGAAATGTGACTAGATGTTCAAAATGGCAAGAAAGTACCATCAGTACAGCATTTATACAGGACAGGTTTCAATTCACGTTTCTAGCTAATTACATTCATGGTAGCATAGAAAACTATTGGCTATCGCTAGGCCCAGTGGAGATCCCATTGCAATTCCATCTATATAGTCATAAATGACATTATTAAATAGGAAATGGTTTAACTCTGTAGAGAGGGCAAGAAGTTCTAAGAATTGTTTTCAAATGAAACCAAGATGCTACTCAGAGTTAGAAAGAAAGAAGAAAGAAAAGGTCCACAATTAAATTTAAGATTTCATAAAGAGGAATATTGGTATAGAGAGATTTAATATCAAAACTGTCCATAACATATTGATCAGCAGAGGGAATTTTACAGATTTGATAAGCAAAGGTGAAAGAATTGGCAATAATAAATTTATTCAGTAATATAGTAATTTATGTCAGTATAGAATATATCAAAGAGATTATTTATTCACACCTTGGGAACAGTTTAGGGTATTTTGATAATCATAAATATTACATATCCTTGATAATTACTGAATGACACTTAAGTACATAACCCAAACATTTTCAATGTACAAAAGGTCTCTGTGACATACTTTTATGCCACAGTTATCTTAGAAAAATTATAAAAAAGAAATTTTCATCACTCCATTATACATTCAACTAACACGTTACCCACAAGATTTATTGGATGTTTCTAGTTTTGACAAACATGGTGCCTTTCAATTATTTACACAATCAATCAAATTCATGTACATCTGGAAAAACACATTGAGAAATCTATCAAGTTAAACAAGTAGCAGCTAGTTCATTACATAAATCTCTGAGGCTTAAACAAAAATAAAAATAAACAGAAGTTGATAATACTGAATAGATGTAGGATGGAGAAATATCAGTTTTCTTTTGAATTACAATATCATACATTATTACCCTTGCCCCATGGGGGGTATTGCAATAAGGTCTGTGTTTCCACGCATGTATCTTGAACACTAATAAACCAACATACATGAAAATTTTACATAAGATGTGAAGTTGGTATGGGATGGTCCTCTCCAAATTTGTTCTGGATCCAGATTTAGGATCATTTTGAAACATTTTTTGTAATGGAGAGATAGAGCATTTTTGTGGTTTTATGACTGGATTTGTACTAAATTTCAAGGGCATATTAAGGTTGAAATTCCTCATCACACTACAGAATATTGTCCGTATCATTGATAATTTTGGATCTAAGAAGAATATTCTGAGCTTTTAAAAGTGAAATTTGACGTTATCCAATATAAACACATGCAATCTCGAAAATGAGTGGCAGGGCAAGGATATGCAATCTCTCTAACTGCTCTTGTTTAGGAATATATCTATAATCTCTCATTTATCTTTATACAACAAAAACAATAAATTTATATCAACTTGATTTTGCCTTTATCTTAGATTATATCTGTTTACACACTTTATAAAAATGTCTTAAAAATAGCACTTAAAATTGAAGAAAATTTAAAACATTAGTTTTCAGTACAATATTATATTCTTTAACTGAATACAATTCACGTTTTGATAATTATTTCACAGTTTTGTTATTAAGTATTACACTGACCTTTGGCACACCTTTCTTTTCACAACTCTTGAGAAAATTTTCCACATTCCATCTACTCTTGGCTACAGATAGTTGTGGCTGTAGAAATAATTATACATGACTCAGAAGTTGAAGTAACTCAGTTATATTAACAAAAAAACATTTAATTTCAGATGACACACACTGAAAAATTATCAATGGACTCTCTACTGTATGTGAATAATGGTTTTCAAGATCTAATTTAAGCAAACCAAAGGCACAAAAGTCTATTGGAGCTGCATCTTGACATATGTGGCAAATGGGATTGTTGTGGTTTAGTTTTTTTTTGGTAATTTTTCTCAAGAAAATAGCTACTGATTTCAGATTATGAGTAGAATTTTATAAAGGTTATAATTTTCCTATACAGAAAATATATTTCCAATAGGTACTTACCTTACTAACATATGTAGCTATTCTCGTTCAGTGCTGCCATCTACATGCACTTTTTTTTCATGCCATAAACCTTGCACTCCCATTTACCAATGACTATTGACTATCCTGGTTTTACTGCATCTCGCAGGCAAATCGTCATATGACAACCCTCCACCAACAGGAGTACAACACAACCTACTGATGCATGTGGCTCCCTCTATAAGATTCTATTGAACTATCACTTCGGAAGAAAAGGAAGCACCGATTTTCAATGGGGAAGGAAGAGTAAGTAGGAAGTGTGAGAAGAGGTAAGTACATATAGGAAATATATTTTCAGTATAGGAAAATTATAACTTCTGGTATGGTACAATATATAACTGGAATTCTACATTCAATAGGTGGAGGGACCAGTGCATCTGAAGAATAACCTATACTGATGATCCTTGCAATAAAGAATCATCCCTGGGAGACCGCACCACTTCTGTTCCAGGTATACTCTTCACCCAATGTGCAAATTGGTGTCAAAGACACAGGCAGAACAAAGGGAGAGAAAACACTGGGACTGGTATCCAAGCCACCTAAGAACATACTCTCAATCCTGATGAAGAGAAGCTGTAGATGAATCTTCTACAAACAATAATGTGGAAGAAAGCGAAACTGGTTGTTCTTGAAGGTGTAGAGTGGCTAGGGCTTGACAGACTATAAGCAGCCAGTCAACTCCAATCAAAAACCAAGCAGAATCAGGAATATAATCTCCAATCTGTGGTAGTAAGAGGGTCCAAACCATCTTCACCTCAAGTTCCGTAAAACAGAAGTATATACTGTGCAAACCAATCTGTGAAATGGGCACACTTGCACAATCCACAACTAACCATATATCCAGGAACCTGACATCTGAATGACAGTAGTAACAGGCAACAAATGTGTGAGGACTTATTTTGATTGGTCCTGCTCAAAATCCAAAATCAGTCACTGGGAACTCACATCCGTGTGATGGTACAATGAGGGATCCCAATTAAAGGGGTGAACTGCAAGGTGATGGATCAGCTTGAAAGTAGCATCATCTGCTTGGACAGGACCATACAGCATTGGAGTACATCATGAACTTCCAGATACCATTGCATGGAAGGTAACACATATGTGAGGACTTATGTTGATTGGTCCTGCTTGAAAGCCAAAACCAGTCACCAAGAACTGACATCCATGTGATGGTAAGATGAGGGATCCAAACTGAAGGGGTGAACTGCAATGTGTCAAGATCAACTTCAAAGCAACATCATCTCCTTGGATAGGAGCATACAGAATTGGAGCACATCACAAAATTCCAGAAACCATTTCACAAAAGTGGATTGCCCCTAAAACCTTATGCAACTGCAGCCTCCAAATAGTTACGGAAGCCAGGAACAACATCAACCCTTGGAGTCTACTGTACAGAGATGGAGCATTTTTATTGTTAGTGTACATGTGCAACCTCATCCCCTCGGACAGGATCATACAGCATTGAAGCACATTGCCAACTTTCGGTTACCACCACACAGAAGTGGATTGCTCCTATAAATGATATGCAACCTCCATATAGTCACAGAAGCCAGGTGCAACAGCAACCCTCAGAGCCCATCGGACAGAGATGGTGCACATAAATGGAGAACCAGTATCATCTACACCAGCAGGACAGCACCGCCCTACTCTTAACTAAATGTAGTTGTATATTAATTATTTGCATAAGGTCATATTCAGGAGGATACCTCCAAGATCCACAACCTCAGCAGCTTGGAACTGTAAATTGGCAAGGACTAACATACCCCACTTGAAGAACAAGGAGGAATAAAATACAGAGGAACACCAACACCAGAAACAGTGTAATGGGTGACCACGAAAATCCTATTTTGAAAAGCAGACTACCCCTGATTTATTCAATAAAAGGGACAGCAGAAATTGGGAGCTATCCCCTTCTGCTTTACCCATATAAATCCACTGGTTAGTATGGTCCAGAACAGGCATATTTATGAAGCAAATATATTGTGAGGGAAAACCTACAAGTGATCTTGTGGAACACCCCATCTCAACAGTGTGGGTTATATGCCATGGGAATATTGTACTTTATGATAGCAGCATGGCTGTACAATGCAGATTTGTGATGCATTAAGTATACCTGGACAGGCAACACTCACCACAGAGTGGGATCCTAACAGTAAAAAAGGGAAATGGACCTGAAAGAAAGTAAAATGTAAATAAAAAAGAGAACTTACCCAGTCACAATTTCACCAAAGTTTGAAGGACGGTATCCCAACGAGGAAGAAAGAGCTACCGATGAAAATAGTGGGAGATGAACATATGAGGAGTTGTCCACATGCCCACTTGAAGAATTTCCTCCAATGGACAATGGAAGTGAAATATTAGGGAAAAGATAAGTTACCTGATCTGATGTGATGACACCTGGAACAGAGTTTAGGAAGAAGAGAAGGAGAACAGAGGAGCTGTATGATGTTGAGGTAGTCAAGGAAACCACAGAATTGCATGGATGATTGAAATCACCCTGGGAATAAGAAAGAAGGGAGGATAAACATAAAGGTATCGGTCAGTCTAATCCTGGCTGAAACTTCAACACCTAGGGCTTGTGGATGAGGAGCTGGAGACTAGAAAGGAGGTAACTTGGCATTGAGAAAGGTGGCAAATGCATCCAGATGAGGCATACCCCACTGTGAACATAGCTGCTGGAAACATGAGGATCAAGAAACCACTCCATGTGATAAATGTTGTCCAGTCTGGAAAGATGATTTGCCACAAGTTTGAAAGCACCCACAACATGATATGCCTGGAGATATATCCCAAGCATGTGAGCCCAAAAAAGTAGATCCAAATATCGACTGCAAAGGGAATAAGAATGGGTGCCACCTTGATGGTTGGTATAAGCTACCACTGCAGAACTGTTAGAATGGATCATGACAATTCGATTCCTAAGTAGAGGAAGAAATTGATCCAAAGCCTGTCATACCACTAGAAGCTTCAAGGTGTTGATATGCTAAGACTGTTCAGTCAAAGACCATAGTCTGGAGGCCTCCTGCTGACTAACCCATGCCCCTCAACTAAGTTGGGAAGCATCGATGAAGAGATTCAAATATGAATGAGGAGGAGAAAGCGGTACACCCAACAATGTGTGAGCCTTGTTCAACCACCAACATAGATTGTTAATGAGGAAAGGATGAAGGGAAATGGGAAAATCTAAAAGTGAGCAAGATTCCATTGGTTGTGCAGAGTCCACTGAAGAAACCACATATGTGCTTGACCTAAGGAGATAAGAGCTTTCATAGAAGCTCACATCCTCAAAAGCAATGGAACCTCACAAGCAGTAAGAGATGGAGCAGCAAAGGCATGAAAAAAGTTGGGCTCGACTGAAGTGGGAGTTGAAATTTTGGCTTGTGAACCTTCATCAACTTCAAATACTTATCTAATACCTTGTTAATGATACCAGAAGGGATGCCTAACTTCATTCATTACTCCAAAGTGGCTTGGGATGTGGTTTCAGAGCCTATCATTGTGTTAAATGCTATATTATGCAAGACTTTCCAATTCCATGGGGTACATTAAAAGTTCCATTTTTTGAAACATTATGCCTGTTGGCTCAATCTACCTCAATCTCATTATGATTATCATAAATATACTTACAGCAAAAATTGCAAGTCAAATTATAAATATTTTTCCATGAACTAACTACAACAATGCTAAACATGTTAGTCCATGCCACCACAGTTTGCATGTACAGCAACACATCACTGTATTAGCATATACAATTTGTTAAAATAAAGTACAATTAACCCTTTAATTTATTTTTCTAGTAAAGTTAACCTAAAGTCATTATTTAATCATTTCATGCTCTTCCTACTTTGTAAAACATTATTTGCTTTTTATGTTTAATTAGGAACCTACTGAACTGAATAATCAATACAAAATGCAATAACAGTAATTTTTATAATAGGCACATTCTGATTTTAAGGATTACAATGTTTTGACCCAGAGTATCAAGTCATCATCAGATAAAATTTACTTTACCTGATGATGGCCTAATACTATGGGTAAAAAACTTAGTAATCCTTAAAGTCAGAACCTGCCTATTGTAAAAGTTGCTATAATTGTGTTTTGAACTATACTTTTGTTTTGGTTAACAGCTTTAGAGAACTGTTGTGTGCACTAGAGAAAATTTTTAATACATCTTACAACAGAATAATAAAAAAAAAGTAAGAGCTTTACAGCATAAATTTAATTTTCATTTATTTTAATTAACGACAGTCAACAAAAAAGCTGAAAACTAACGTTTTAACTTTCACCCAGATAACCATCTAAACAATCCAAACAGTAACTACTTACCACTGCAGCAGAAGGCACATGGATATTGACCAAAAAATTAGGATGAAGTTTGTTCATCAGTTGACACAAAAGCACTCCATCTCGAAGTGCTCCTCCAAGGTCATCTGGTAAAACTACTTTTAAGTTGTTCTTGATTATCTATTAAAAGTTTGAGGGAAAAATCATTATATTGATGTAAGGAAACCAACTCTGTAAGTCACAACTGTTTAAGAGGGTTTCTTATTTTTTTCACTTGCAAACCAAGAGAAATATAATTCTGTATAAAAGATAATGAACAGGAAGCAATCACATACATCACATAATTTTTAATTTATTGGTAATGTCAAAAAACACTCTAGTAATCACTTTTAAACATAAACCAAGTTTGTCTTCTATATATTTTGACACACTAGTAAGACATCACAAAATTATAACCATTTTATCAAAAACAAAAAGGTGAAAATAAAAGAAGATTAAAATTCATTGCAAAAAATACTCTCCTACACAAAAGTTATTCATTTGGATATTAACTATTGTAAATGTATATGACAACAGATACTAATTGGTTAAAATTTTAAGTTATTTTGATTTAGTTCAAATAAAAAACATCTATTGTGAACGATGAAGAAACTTACATAAACTATATGTGTTTGACAGCAGTATCTTCTATGGATGACTAATTTCATTATTCTTAGAAGTTAGTAAAGTAAAAAATAATGAGCTCAAATTAAGAATCTGGCAACAATAAAAATTCAAAAGCCATTTTGTTTGGGGGCTTTTAACACAAAAGGAGGTTAAATTTAGAAAATGCAATCTAAATTGGTAAGTCATGTAAAGGCACCAAGAGGAGCTCTAATCAGTCTCTAAAATCATGGCCAAAATACTAAACTTCAATAATACAAAGAAATGTATTAAAACCTAAAATATATTTATAGTAAAAATTGTTCCATCATACTATTTACAGCATTACTTGAAGTTTATTAATAAGGATATCATAGCCTTAGAGTTTATGTCTGACAACAGAGTAAGTGTAATGTTAGGACTTGATAAAAAATTATGATTTTTACAATAGCAGGAAAAAAAAAAGAAAGTACTGTCCAAACTGCTACCAGTTTTCTGTTAAATTTATAAAAGTTAAGCTCAGGAACTCTGATTAAGTTTAACGTATAAGGTTATAATAATTTTTAATGTTTTGTATTTACATATTTAAATATGTGTAATACTAGGAGTCATTTCAGTGTTCATGGCAGCACTCACTTTCTTGTGACAGAAGAAATCATCACATGAAATAATTTGGAGTTAAAGTGAACTAAACATTAAGTGTAAGTAAAAAACTCAAAGATGGTAGAAGTGACAGTTGACTTTCTTGGGGATTCTTACCCTGTTAAAAAAGAAAAATGACAGGCAAAATCTGAAAGCATATAAGGATTTAATGCCTACAGCATTGTATGAAAACATCTAGTCTCAAGTACAAGTTAAAGATGAGAGTAGAATTAAATAATATCATGCATTTAAACAGATTAATATAAATGAACTCAAATTCTGTTTTATATCCTCATAAGCACAATATTGTTTCTTTCAAAATAAAAAAACTAAAAAATCTGGGTAATTCTTATGTTTTATATATTGTTTGTTGTTTTAGCACAAAGCCACACAATGGGCTACACGTACTCTTTCCACCACAAGGAATCAAACCCTGGATTTTAGTGTTGTAAGTTTGTAAACTTACCACTGACCCACTGGGGAGCATTTACAGGCTTTTTAACAAAAAGCTCTTGTTGGTTTATATTTGCAACCTTTAGTCTTAGATTCTAAAGTTTAGATTTTATACACTTTAGTGAATGAAATCAATCCAAACAAAGTTGCCTGCTTACCAAAAGATAGCTGTGGAAATAAATATTGATTCTTTATGTAATAGTTTACCAATACAAACAAAATTTCAATTGTGGCTTAAATTCACCAATGATATATATATGTATATATATGATCTCTGTTAAAATATTCTTTTCTTTCACTAAAGTGGGAAACACTCTTTTTTTTTTCCTTTCTACCCACACAATAAAATTATACATTAGTGACTAGAAGATTTTCATTTTAAATATATTAAAACTATTAGTTTTTTGAGCCTATAGTTTCCTGGTACTAATAAATTAATTTGTAAATATAATAATAAACTTGATTTTTTAATCAGTATGTAAAACTGAATTTAATAAAAAAACATTTGGTTTACTTACTGTAAGCATAGATATATCATCAGTATATTACATTTGTATCTGTTTATGTGTGTGTGAATGTATTTATATTAAACTGTTTTTTGTGTGTTTGTTTGAGAGCAAAGCCACATTGGGCTACCTGCTGTATCCACCACAGAGAATCAGATCCCAGATCTTAGCAGTGTAAGTCTGGAAATTTAAAGCTGTCCCACTGAGGAACTTAAACTGTTTTATCTATCAAGTTCACTCTCTAATTACAAGTTTATGAACTTGTTTTACACCATATGAAGATGAACTATTCTGGTAGGTTTAGTTTTTATTATTTTATTATTGTGTGTGTGTTATCATAGACAATTTGACTTGTGTTTCAACTTATTAATCGGATAGGTACAAAGATTAAAAAATTTTTTTACAAAGTTTTTTTCTCAATTTTATAAACTGAATGGATTTTGACAACAAATATATAAATATAAAAAAACATTATAAAATCTTTAAGCAGCTCGTTCAAATAAAAATAAACACTCAGTCTGCATACTTAAAAAAATACAAAGTTAACAAAGTAATTGAAATATGAATATTATAAATATCTATTTTGGGTCATATTTAAAAAATTCCAAACAGCATTTATACAGAAGTACCCTCAGAGGATTAGCAATAATGAGCACCTAGCTTCTTGCATAGAATAACTACACACATTAACTTAATTTTATTGATAATAAATGCAATAACTTTTTGACATGCAGTTACACAATACAAATGTATATGAAACATTAAAATTATAAAATACTGCTATAGCACATAGCACAAACAGTGACCATTGACTAATATCAAATAATCACCTTGGGAATAGTCACTAGAAAATCTCATGTAAAGGTCAACATTTATATGATGAAAGAATTCACTTCCATACTTTCAGACATTTCCAACCAACAAGTTTTCCCACCTTCATCTGTATAGATAAGTATGGCCAAAGTAAAGAGCTGTAAATCCAGGATCTGCTTTTACTTCCATCTGCATTCCATTGTTTCCAAATGTTAAAGAGGGGGATAAATTATTTTAAATATATAATATATAAATATGTGTGTGTGCATGTGGTCACACATTCATGTGGAAATCAAAACTTGAGGCAAGATGCTTGAGATTTTGTTCAGGTAATTCATATAACAATAATGGTTAAAAGATGCAATATGTACAATAAAATTTACCTTCCTCAAGTGATCAATGTGCTCTTGTTCTTCTTTGGCTTTATTTAGTCTTCTTCTAATTGTGAAATTTGAATTAACTGGTTCAGTGAATGAAGAGGATAGTTTCTTAAAATCTGTTATGCAATCAGAAAAGAAAATAATTTTCTATGTAATATAAAATATTTAAGCAGATGTTATACATCATAATTTCATAGATATAGAAAATAGAAAGATACTACTTCAGAAATTCATAAGCAAACTCAATGAAATAGAAGATTTTCTTATGTTTTCTTTATGTTTTACAGCTTCCAAATGAAAAATAACAGTAAGAAAGAGGATGATTACACATAGCTGTGAAGTCAAAATATAGGTTAAAATAATACATAACAGTTTGAAATATATAAGTTGATTAACATGATAAAGAAAATATTCAAAACTATGTATAAAACCAAAATTAACATAGTAATGTTAATTGCTTTGTTTTGTTTTGTTTCTAATTATGCACAAAGCTACACAAGGGCTATCTGTGCTCTGCCCACCACAGGTATCGAAACCCGGTTTCGAGAGTTGTAAGTCCGCAGACATACTGCTGTGCCACTGGGGGGCTTGTTAATTGCTAATACTTTTTAATATTGACTCACATGATAAGAGTTCATTATAACTAAACATAAAAAAAACACTGCATCACTCTGTTCATATGTTTTTTACATTGGTTCATGTAAGCTTATACTACTGGGCTGACTATAATTCCGAATTTACTATGTGTATCTACACAAAGTTTGACAAGCTTTAGTCAAATGTACAAGTCTGTTGTACACAAAAAGTCAGATGTGTTACTAATGTATTTGTACTCAAGATATGTCTGTGAATTGATGACATTAGTATGACACAGACTCTGACAAATCAAAGTGCAAGGTGATGTTCGTATGAAGAATATAAATACTTTTTTACATCATACAATTTGCATATTGTACATGCATAAACTTTAGAATGTCCAAAATATACAGCTTTTTTCAGTATCACTGTATATTGTATCTTATATTCACTCTCCTCTACTATGAAGTTTCATTGAATCAGCAGTGTAGGGTAAAATGAATAGTTGATAACTCTGACATCAAATACATAATAGCAATTGAATAGTACCCTGTAAAAAAGTTGGGGCATTCGCACTTTGACACCCCCCCCCCACTTGTGCATAGATTAATTAAATGTTTCATAAAGTTGATTTCATTTTTCAATATTTTCAATTATTTTATTATGATTATTATTAAAGATGCATATAAGTTACATAATAAATCACAATAGCCATACATACCTTCACAATATACAAATCACACATACCATAAAAATCCTAATTACTTCTATCAATGCACTCATTAAAACTAACAATGTAATATAATTCAAGTAAACAGGGCTTTTCCCAAAATTGTTAAGTTTAGTAAAAAGTTTTTTTATATTTTAGGTCCTAAAAATATGTACTTAACAGTAGGAATTTAAATCCTTGTGTATAAAAACCTAAGATCCTGTTTTCAAAGTGATGAAAATATTTCTATTTACTTATTAACTTTATTCCAGGGTTAAATTTTATTTTTACTTCCCAATTTATCTCAAATTGTGCAAGTGCAAAACAAAATCTGTTTTCCAAAAACTCTGCTCATCCTACTGCACATGAGATCATTTTTGTGAGAAAGATCCTACACCCTGAGGATTAAATGGAATGTGTGCACCTTATGCCTAAAGGAACATACAATAAGTTAATGGGCACTTTGAAAAAACGTTGGAAGGTTTAAGCTCAAACCACTAATCAAGTTTTCCAGAAAAAAAATCCACATTTTAGATTAAAAATGTGTAGTTTGACAAATTTTTGCCATTTTATATTTACAAGTTATATCTAATGAACTCTAATTAAAACAAATATCTCCACAATGTACTGCTAGATGTTAACATTTTCTTACACTAAAAATGTATTTCCAATCAATACTTACTTCCCTCACACAAAGCTATCTTGATCTTCTTTCTGCTCCCTAAGCATTGCTAAAAAAATTTCATGCTCAGCACACCAGTCTATATACCCCACCAATTTCATGCTACAACATGTACATGTCATGTAAATACTCTAGACCAATAGTATTGCACCACCTATATTGGAACAGCTACCTCCCTCTGCTATTCCCATTCAATCCTCACTTTCAAGAATTGAAAGGATCTAAATGAACATGTGCAGAATCACCATGGGAGAGAGATGATATCTACCTGAGGAAGATGCAGCCAGACCGTGCACATAATGAGTGATGAAGGTATTGGGAGTAGTCCAAATTCGAGCCTGAACAATCCTCTCTAATGGTCAGCGAAGGTGAGCAGCCAAAAACATGGTGGTATGATGAATTTGATTTGAAGAAACATTGTGGAGACTACGACCTTCCATGGATAAGTCAGAATACACCAGCCTAATGAGTTGACAAACCCAACCAGTTAATATGATAGGGAATAAATCCTGGAAAACAGATTGATTCCAGAGAAGAAAAAATTGAGAATGCAAACTCCAAAAAGAGGCAGTACTTACCACATAACACCGTAAGGAGTGAAACATGCAAAAAAAGGCATCTGGATCAGAATGGGAGTACGGGTGGGAGATGGAAGGTAAGTAAATGGGTGTGAAAGCCAAAAAGACTTTATGGGCAGCATAAGTCTTAGGAAGAAAGGAACCAGTCTGGATATAGGATGACATAAGTGGAATGGCAGAGGATTCTGGTATCATTAATGACATAAATATCTGATCAACAATGTCTACAAGCAAAGAGGAGAAAAAAATAGGTCTTGAGGGAGAGATGGTATATGGAACACATCAACAAAGATTCAAAGGAAGGACATGAAAGGGCATAATGGACCACATTAAGGTCCCAATCAGGCAAATCAAAGGAATGTGGAGGATGCATGACCTGAAAGGAGGAATATGACAGGGGAAGACAAATCCTCTCTAAACTTGAAGAAACAGAAGGTGTTCAATATGGCCGCCTGATAGGTTGACACAATCAAGGTGGACAAGCCTTTGCCAAACAACCAGGTGAAGAATTGGGAAAGATGAGGAATGGAAGGGTGGGAAGGATGGAAACCACATCAAAGAGACTAAAGGCAGAACGTAGACCATCACTTTTAGTAAATGGACATGGAAGAGGGTCTTATGGATTGAGAAAAGAAAGACCCAACATGTAGAGTCAGTCCCTGGACTGAGTCAATGGACCTACAAAAAGTCATGCATGAAGACAGAGGGTGGTGACATGTGGATAAATAATGTCCAACTAAGGTTGACAGAGTAGAGATTGAGGCAGAGGTAAGGGTAGGGGAGGTTGTACAAGTTTAGGTCAGAGCAGTTTAAGCAATGGTTGTGCCCACCAATACTGAGCCACCAGGAGGACTAGACATGGAATGGTTTGGATTAGGGATACAACTCTGGGGAGGAGTCGATTAGGAGGGTAAGCATAGATGTGATGACCCCTCCAATTTTGACTGAATACATCCACTCCTAGAGCTAGTTGCTGTGGAATGAGAGACCAAAAAGAAGCAAATTTGGTGTTCCAGTTGGTGGCAAAAACATTGATATGAGGTGCTCCCAGCTGCAAACACACCCATCGAAAGACCTGTGGATCGAGTGACCACTCCATGCAGAGAATCGTGTTGGGTCAAGATAAATGTTCCGCAAGCAGATTCAGGGCACCAGGAAAATGGCAAGCTAAGAACAACACATGGTGACAATGAGCCCAGAAAAGCAGATCCAAGGTCTGAAAGCACAGAGACCTGGATTTGGTACCCCTTGCTTGGTGGTATAAATGGCCACTGTGGAGTTGTTGGAGTGTACCATAACTATCCTCCCCACAGGAAGGAAAGAAGTGGGGACAAAGCTCGAGAAACCACCATAAGTTTGTGAATGTTGTTAAGGATAGAAGACTCCTCGACCAACCAGAGACTGGAAATCTCCAGAGTGTCGAGGTAAGCACTCCAACCCTCTAAAGATGCATCCACGACAGACGTAA